CCATTGTATATTGAATTCAACAAGCTGCAATATATATTTTTGGCCGCTATAGGAAAGTGTATTTTGCCTTGGCCTAGAGTACAGGCCTCTCTCCGATGAAGTAAAACCAATGAGGAAAGTAATTATGAAGCTCCTGCTGTTTAGCCCATGCGGGAAAAGAACCTTAAACATTTCGAGGCATCCCACATATTTTCCCAGTGTAAGAAGGAGACACAATTATTCTATTATAGGCTTCTAGCACACAGGGAAGCACCAAACAATTCGGATTGGTATCTAGTGAGAGAATCAGTCCCAACCATCTTTATAGAGTATATACGCCATATTATGTTTGTCTAACATTAAGTGAGGATTAAGCAGTAAAGCTCCAAGATTCCAAAATAAATCCTTGCCAACAAGGAAAGATACCACAAATATTGCAAGGCAACATTTTGGCAGTTCTTCATGCTCCAGTAGGTTCAGTTTTCTTGTGAAACAAGATTGTCCATTACTTATAGTTTATCATCCTGACAAAATGGTAGGAATGGGGGATGTGAAGGCACTAACAATTCCTCCCCTGGTGCTCTGTTCCCCTTTCTGTACATTAAAACCGACAAGATTAACCCAAACGCAAATTGCAGAGCACAGTTCAAGGGGATATTCATTGGAAGTGAATGTGCATTTGTTTGCCTACCAGAAAAAAAGAAAAAAGAAAAGAAAAGAAGAATTTCACAAACAAATGATGAGGAGCAGGCTGTTTTATGCCACCGAAAAGGCTGCTCAAACAGGGCCAACCATTATAGGCTATTTTATCAGTCTCTGACAGCTTTAGTGTTTATTCAAACTAACTGTGGCTGATTTCATGTGTAATAGGTTATCACTGGAGATATTACTAAGCTATTTGTTTGCTTTCCTTTAGTTAAATGACATTTAGTTAAGGAAAAGAGGCCCACTGTGGGTGAGAAAAGAAAAATTATTTGCTGACAGGGCAAATGCCCGCTAACAAAAGGAACCTTAGATTGCCCAACACTATTGAGAAGTAGAGCTTCATGTCCTTCACACCTAAAGCTACTAAATTGCAACTTAGGGGTTGTAGCATGGAGTTGGGCAGTTCTTATTTGTTGACTCCAGAAAACAAGTGACTAAGTATGTAAAGTAATCTCTTGACAAGAATGGATTTTGGAAATACCATTCATTGATGGATGTCACTTGGTTACACAAGAGTTTGTTTTACTAGGCTTCCTTACAATCTAGTTTTCCGAGGTCAGAAAACTCACAAAAGAGACATCTCAGTAAGGTATTATTTCCCAACTAACTTTATGATCATGGTTCTTGTGCAATATTTTAACAGAACAGTTTTATGGTGGACTTATTAAGTTATTGCTTCAGATAAATATAAATGACATCCATCCCCCTTTCTCACTCTCCTTTCCTGGCACCATTGAAAAATTAAAGGCGCTAAAGTGACTCAGAGCAGTTTTCATTTAGTAGAGTAGGCCGTAAAAGGCCCAATGTGAAAAGAATTTACATCACTTTCACAGATGTGGTATGAACCTACTAAAATTCTTCTTTAATTACCAACAGATGTGTAAATAGAAATAATTACTTATCTTCAGTAAATAAATGCAAATGGTGCATAGAAATTTTGCTCGCTCTCTCTCTCTCTCTCCCTCCTAACAATGAAAGGATCTCATAACACAACCCCATTGCTTTGTTTACGAAGAAACAAGTCTTATCCTGCTATCAATGTTCTGACTAGGGACTCCTGAGAAGTGGAGAAGGGAGACTAGTTTCATTCCACTACAAAATCATTCGTTCTTCAGGTAAGGAGCATCTGAAAATAAACTATGTTCCTCAAAAGTGAAGGTCCCCCTTTCCCCATTCCCTCCCAAGGGAATAATATCGCTAATGCATTTACAAATATATGGAAAAGCGCAGGAATGAGGTATGCCTGAATTGATTAATTTACAGCCCCTTCCACGCAGCTGAATAAAATCCCACATTATCTGCTTTGAACTCGAATATAAGGCACTGAGGACTCAACTAACCTAGTTCAGATATTGTGGGATTTTCTGCCTTGGTTATATGAGTTATATGGCTGTGTGGACGGGGCCTCAGAAAGTTGGCATCACTTCAAAAAGAAGTGATATATTTAAAAGTGATATATTTAGATTGGGAAAAAATAGGGTTTACCAATTAAGTTAAACTTGTTAGCAGTATTTCAGGGCAGGTTGTTGCCCTTGTCACTGCTGTTGATTTTACTCAAATTAATGTACACAACAGAAGGAAGTAGCAACACAGAACCCCCTACTTTAGGGACAAAGCCTTATATTACATGGTAGACAAGCCATTTAAGGTGGGAAGTGAAAGTTGTAGATTAATGCATTGGGCAAGTCAAGTCGCAAAGGCAGGTTAGGCCTTGGAAGGGAGTAGAAGGAATGGCCAGCGCCTTGGAGAGATTTTTATATATTGGAAGAGTGACCTCTGTAGGAATAAAGCAATCACTAGACTGCAGCAGCAAGCAGGGAAAATGCCTTTCTCCTCTAAGGCTAAACTTAATGCTACCCAATATGCAACACTAAGACTTCCCCCACGGAAACACACACACACACACACAGTGAATAAGTTATTCTGCTTCTCTGAAACAAATTTTATTCTATATGTCTAAGACATAAACTGAACATCCAGGCTTTTACTGGGTTGGAAGGAGTGCTATAAGAAGCTTGAATCCACAACAGGCGCAGCCATGTCTTTGTATTCCTGTCTAGGGAGGAAAGAAAGCACCACTAAATTGTGCAAGACTAACATGATCCTGCTAAAAATGGCCCAGGTTCTCACGTTTTGAAAATGCAAACCAATGAATCTTCTTTGCTTCTCCTTGTTGAAAACTATGGGCCTCAAACCCGCCTGAAAACCCCCTTTCCCTCAGGGAACAGCAAGGAAATTAATCTAATGGCACCCAAGGGATAATGATAGAGTTGGAAAGTGATTTCTCAAAGCTCCTGGATGCAAATTCCAAACTTCTGTTATTTCGGCTAGATTCTATGGAGCCTGTGAGTAATATACAGCACACCTCACCGAAGAGGCATTTTGCACTTGTGAGGAAGGCCATTTCCCCAAAGCGGAGTTGTTCACTTAAAGGCATTTTAACAGCCGTTTAATCATGCTTCATACAAGAGCCTATACTCAATTCACTTCCAAGCAACCTTGTGGGTTTTATGAGCAAGCCGATGTGCTTGTTTTCAATAAACTATGTCCTACAAAACCATTAAAAGAAGCATCCCTTATCACAGCTCCTTAAAAGATATGTCCTCTAGTGACTGTTAAGTCACCTACACTGATTTATAGACAGAGAGAAATCTTAGTTTGAGGAAGTTCTCCTAGATTTGTGAGATTAACTTTCCAGGAGAACAAAACACAGAACTCTCGAACTCTCTCTCAAAGAAGGTCTTCCTTTCTTCCAAGCTGTTCAGGGAAAGACCTTTTATGCTCTTATCTATCCTCATTCAGTCACACAGCCCTGTACTGAAGATCACAACTTTATCTTATGAGGAAAGCCAAATTAACATGCTAAAAAGCGACAAAAGGATCTTGAATTCCAAAGCCCTACGCAACTCCCACTTTCTGCTTGCATTGCATCAGCTGGTTCTAGAGAAACTCTTGTATCTCTCAACCCACTCCTGGAGCAGCAGTTCCGCGTGGAGAGAGGCCACGACCCTGGTGGGCGACCCACGCAGCCTTCACAGTCTTGGCTCTGCCTGGACTTGAAAAAAAAGAGGGCAAGGCCTGAGAAAGTCCTCCCTGGGCTCAGGCTTTCGTGACTCAGCCACCTGGTTCTTGGAAGGGATATCTGCAAATGTGCAAAGGAGTGCCGAAGCTCCTCTCCTGCCTTTCCTAGATGCCTCCCAAGGAGGAAGGGGAACAGGGGCCTAGTATTGTCACAAAGTGTCTAAACTTTGGTTGGTCCAATTTTGTGTGTGTGTGTGTGTCATGAGTGCCTTGAGAAACTACAAGTTTCTTTTGGTGTGAGAGAATTGGCTGTCTACAAGGATGTTGCCCAGGGGATGCCTCAATGTTTTACCATCCTGTGGGAGGCTTCTCTCATGTCCCTGAATGGGAAGCTGGAGCTGACAGATGGGAGCTCACCCTACTGTCGGAAGTGGCTTGAGAAACTGCAAGTCGCTTCTGGTGTGACAGAATTGGCCATTTACAAGGATGTTGCCCAGGGGATGCCCACATGTGTTACCATCCTCTGGGAAGATTCTCTCATGTCCCTGCATGAGAAGCTGGAGCTGACAGATGGGAACTCACTCCACTCCTTGGATCCAAACGCCGACATTTTGGTCAGCAGTCCTGCCGGCACAAGGATTTAACCCATTGAGCCACGGGGGCTCCGGCCTGGCCAATGGACCTGGCCCAGTGCTACAATTATGCAGTGGGAAAACCCATACTTCCACTTCCCCCACACACACACCTTTTGCCTACAATGCTCCCCAATCCATTCATAGGTGGATTTGCCACAGTGTTACCATTACGCTGTGGCAAAACCCATACTTATACACACACACACCTTTTCCCCACAATGCTCCCCATTCCATTCATAGAATCTTGACATTCCACAATCTTGTGACTTGGGGATGGAGGGAGGGAGGGGTCATGGATTTCCATCTAAGTCAGGCATTATCAAACTGCGGCCCTCCTGCTGTTTGGGCCTCCAACTCCCAGAGGCCCTAAGGAGCTTGTTCAATTGTCAGGAATTCTGGGAGTTGAAGGCCCAAACAGCTGGAGGGCCGCGGTTTGAGGATGCCTGGTCTAACAAAGGATGGGGTCTTGGGGATAAAGCCTCCCCCCTTTTTTTTCTAGGCCTGGGGGAGAGCGTTGGGCAGTGGGGGGGTCTCCTCCTTCTCTTGAGGTTTGTACTGAACCGGATGGCCATCTGTCGGGAGTGCTTAGACGGTGCGTTCGGGCTGGCCGGCCCTTGGGCTCTCTCTCTCTCTCCCGGCGAGGGGATCCGGCGCACTTACTTGGAGTTGGAGGAGTTCCAGTAGATAGGCTCCAGCACCAGGGAGCTGGCCAGCGCCGTCCGGCAGAGCAGCACCCAGAGGGCCCAGCAGCAGCGGCCCAGCGGGGAAGGCGCCCCGCGGCGAGGAGGAGGCAGAGCTGGAGGGAGCGGCGGCATAATGGTCCCCCCGAGGAAGCCGAGACGGAGGCGGCAGAGGAGGCGCGCCCGCCCGCCCGCGATCCCCCCGGAAGGAGCCTCCCTCGGAGCCACAATCCCGGGTTAGAGAGTCCCGCGCGCCGCCATCGGCCCTCGAATGGACGGGAGGAGGAGGAGGAGGAGAAGAAGCCAAGGAGGAAGGGAGGAAGGGAATCTGCCCTGCGGTCCTGTCCCTCCGAGAAAGACGCCACCAGCCTCCCTTCGCCGCTCCTAATAATCCACCTGGAGAAGACCCAAAGGCAGCAGTAGCCCGGAGGAGGCGCCGCACCGGCACCCGCGGGGCCCCATCCTCCTCCTCTTCCTCCTCTTCCTCAGAGGAAGGCAGAGAGGGATCCGAATATCCTCCAAGGACGCCCAAGAGCAGCAAGAGACGGGTCCTCCCAAGCCCTCGACGCGAAAGGCTCCTCCGGCGGCGGCGGCGGGCTCCCAGCGCCCGCGTTGGAAACCAAGCAAAGCGCTTCCCCTCAAAAGCGCCCTCCTTGAGGATTTCGAGGGGTTTTGTTTTTCCCCCCACGCGCTCTTTTTTCCCCTCGCTGGCTTGCTTGCTTGCTTTGCTCTCCCCCCTCCCGCGAGGCTTGGCTTCCTTCTTCTTCTTCTTCTTCTTCTTCTTCCTCGAGCTCCGAAGGCGAGAGTGAGCTCCTCCGAGTCGCCGCTCTCGCGCCCGGCCTCCGCGCTATAAACGCCGCCGCCCCCCTTCCCTCGGCAGCGCGCGCGCTGGTTGGGTGGCGCCGCTGTCATTTAAGGCGCACCTCGCTCCCGGAGACAGGCGCCCTTCGCCCGAAAGGGGCGGGACTAGGAGGCAGGCAAGCAGGGAGGGAGGGAGGGAAGAGGAGGAGGCAGGTAGCGCGCGCCAAGGCGCGCGCAAAAAGGGGGGGGGACACGGCTTGGGTGTCCCGAAAGGAAAGAAAAGTCGCTTTCAGATCTATATGTGTGTGTGTGAGAGTGTGTTCGCGCATATTTGTATGTATGTATGAGAGATGAGAGATAGATTTTTTTGTATGAGAGATAGATTTTTTTCTTGGGAGATTGCAAGTCGCTTCTGGTGTGCGAAAATGGGCCGCCTGCAAGGACTTTACCCAAGGGACACCCAGATGCTTGATGTTTTTACCATTCTTGTGGGAGGCTTCTCTTATGTGACCGCATGGGGAGCTGGAGCTGACAGAGGGAGATCAACCCGCTCTACCCGGATTCGAACCACTGACCTCTTGGTCATCAGTCCTGCCGGCACAAGGGTTTAACCCATTGAGCAACCGGGGTCTCCTGATTGATTGATTGATTGATTGATAGTTGTGAATTTTCCGGGCTGTCTGGCCATGTTCCAGAAGCATTCTCTCCTGACGTTTCGCCCACATCTATGGCAGACATCCTCAGAGGTTGTGAGGTCAGTTGGAAACTAGGCGAGTGGGTTTCATATCACTGTGGAATGTCCATTGTGGGAGAAAGAACTCTTCTCTGTTGGAGGCAAGTAACACCTCCCAACAAAGGATTCCCCTGGGCAGGAAGCAGCCAGGCTTTGAAGCTGCAAGGCTACTCAATGCTAATCAAGCTGCAACATTCACACTTTTCTTAAACAGACGAGAGTTCTTTCTCCCACCCTAGACATTCTGCAGATATATAAACCCCACTTGGCTAGTTTCCAACAGACCTCCCAACCTCTGAAGATGCCTGAAATAGATGCGGGCGAAACGTCAGGAGAGAATGCTTCTGGAACATGGCCATACAGCCCAGAAAACCCCCATCATCCCAGTGATTCCGGCCATGAAAGCCTTCGACAATATATGTATTTAAAGGAGGTTTGAAACGCACACCCATGTTGGCATGCTCATGCGTTTAAAAGCATATTCAGATTGCCATTGGACTCTTCTAAATAACACAGTATCTCCAATTACAGTTACATGCAACCCGCACCATCCCCTCCCAAACCTCACCCAGCACCGTGTCCTCTCCCCAAAGGCCTGATGGCACAGTAGCCTCCCTGTTGCAGCTCTCGCCTTTCTGCTTCCTTGGGAATAAGCCCCATTAGTCTCAATGGGATGGAACTCAAAGAGATTGGCTCAGCTGGAAAGGGAAGGTTGTGGTTGGGACCCCCCGCGGGTCTTCCTTGACTTCTTGGAGGACCTCCAAAGGCGGCTTTTACATAACCTCTCAATGGATGTGTAGCCTTCCCCCTCCCCGCGTTTCCTCTGCTTTTCTAGTTCCTCCCTGGCCGTAGCTGTTGGCCGGCTTGACCCTGAGATAGCTGGGCCTCTCCTGCGGAGCCGAGGCCTAAAATGGAGTCCCTAAAGACGCAAGGGAGAGAAAGGACGCGCCGAGCCCCATCGCCGCCGCCTTCTTAGCGAAGCTGGCCGGCCTCACGGGCGCCATCCATAGAGCCACAGCGCCCACTAGCGGCGGACGCGGAAAGCGCGGGCGCTCGGGGAAAACATCCTCCGAAGATCCTGACGCCACTTTGCCTTGGAAGTTTTTCAAATTCATTCTTGCGCTTTCCAAAAACGGGACGGAACTGGATCACGAGCCGCCTTCGATCTCTCTCTTCCCCTAAATCGTCCGATGGAGACAAAACCCGAACTAAATGCGTCCTATACATTATGAATTACAAATGTAATGGGTTTCCGGGATGATCTCAATTTAATGCGTGGTCAGGTATCCAAAACATCACACAATTGCACTGCATTATGCGAAAGACGCGCAACATACGCTCTTAGGGCCATTCATTTGAAAACAAATGCGACCAACAGACTTCACAACCTCTGAGAATGCCTACCACAGGTGCAGGCGAAACGTCAGGAGAGAATGCTTCTGGAACATGGCCATACAGGCCGGTAAACTCACAGCAACCCAGTGATTCCGGCCATGAAAGCCTTCGACAAAATGCGACCACCTTTCCCAAGACGATTTTTTGTTCTCTGCGGGGCGTTTCAAGCGTCTGGAACCAGAGAAAGTGGGAGAAAAAAAATATTTTTTGAGGCGCATTTATGGATGGAAATTTTACCTTTTCCTTGAATCAAAACACCGCGGAAAAAGTCACAGCCGAGAACCTCTAAATTAATACTTCCTCGATCATGAAGTGGTGATAAGACAAAGAGAAACTCTCCAGACAAAAACGAGCGACTGGGAAGAATGAGAAAGGGGGACCTGTTGGGTTTCTATTTTCAAAAAGGAGAAGAATGTCCTTTCTTTTCGGAGGAAATTGGGGAAAATGAAGCCCCCCCCCTCCCTCCCCAAAAGCGGCGCAACTTGGCAAAAAGCGAGACCGCCTCGTCGCCTTCCTGGGCTTTGGTCGTTTAGGACGCATCTACACTGTAGAATTATCGCAGTTTGACGCCACTTTAACTGCCGTGGCTCAATGCGATGGAATCCGGGGAGTGGCAGCTATTTAACTTCCATGCAAAGAGGCCCAGGGAAGGTTGCTGTGAGTTTTCCGGGCTGTGTAGCCATGTTCCAGAAGTATTCTGACGTTTTGCCCACATCCTCAGAAGTTGTGAGATCTGTTGGAAACTAGGCAAGTGGAGTTTATATATCTGTGGAATAATGTCCAGAGTGGGAAAAGAACTCTTGTCTGTTTGAGGCAGGTGTGAATGTTGCGTTTGGCCACCTTGATTAGTTTTGAACAGCATTGCAGCTTCAAAGCTTGGCTACTTCCTGCCTGGGGGAATACTTTGTTGGGAGGTGTTAACTGCTCCTGATTTTTCTTGTCTAGAATTCCCCTGTCTTCTGAGTGTTGTTCTTTATTTACTCTCCTGATTTTAGAGTTTTTTAAAAAATACTGGTAGACAGATTTTGTTCATTTTCATGGTTTCCTCCTTTCTGTTGAAATTATCCACACGTTTCTGGATTGCAATGACTTCTCAAAGCCTTGAAGGCTATTCAATGCTAATCAAACAGTAAATAAACAAAGAGCAACACTCAAAAACAGGGGGATTCCAGGCAAGTATCAATCAGGACCAGCTAACACCTCCCAACAAAGGATAACCCAGGCAGGAAGCAGCTAGGCTTTAATGCTGCGAGGCCATTCAGTGCTAATCAAGCCGGCCAATTGCAACATTCCCACTTGCCTCATGCAGAAAAGAGTTCTTTCTTCTCAACTGGGCATTCCACCGATATATAAACTCCTCTTGCCTAGTTTCCAACAGATCTCACAACTTCTGAGGATGTGGGCAAAACATCAGGAGAGAATGCTTCCGGAACATGGCCATACAACCCGGAAAACTCACCGCGACCTGATTAAAGCCTTCGACAAGACAGGCTCAGGGGAATCCAAAAGAGGCTGAGTTTTTGTTTTGTTTTTCCAAACTTGGGTAAAGAATATAAAGAAGCATTTTAACCGTATTGTTTCAAGTATTTGCGGGGGTCCCGAAATGTTTCCTTCCAAACAGTTTTCTCTTCGAGATCAGGACTTGAACGATGTGCCCCACCTTTGTTTGTTTTCCTTTCCCGGGAAAAAAGAAGGAAAGCGGGGAAAGAAGAAGGCGAGCAGCCTCGGCGGTGGCTCTTTCCAGGCTATTTCTGCCTCCTTCCAGCCCTCTGGTCCAGGCGGAAGTATTTTTAGCCCCTGGGGGCTATTTGAGGCACTCCAGATGCGAAGGGAGAGCCTTCCTCCTCCTTTGACAAGATTGACCCTGATTCCGGAGTTGGGAACAGGAGAGAGGAAAGGCGAGGGAAGCTTCTCCTCTCTCCACGGCCACTCAACGCCAAACCCCAGAGTTCTGGATCAGCAATCCTTTGGGAAACGTCTGTGCTGCTGGCCTGTTCCTGAGGGTCCACTTAGACCATTCATGGGCCAATTTGGGCCCTCTAGGTGCTTTGGACTCCAACTCCTACCATTCCTAACAGCCTCGGGCCCTTTCCTTTCCCCCCTCAGCCGCTTAAGGGGGGAAAGGAAGGAGCCCGAGGCTGTTAGGAATGGTGGGAGTTGGAGTCCAAAGCACCTAGAGGGCCCCAATTGCCCCATACCTGATCTAC